AGATAATTGAGGATGTCATGATGCTGTTAGGATCTCATATAAACCTTTATGGCTCTAGCCTGAGACCTAACTCATTTAAACATGATAAAAAGATTTATTTAATTTGGTATCTAAGTTATAACTTACCACCTAAATAATAAAATGTTACATTTTGTTTGATGGAATTACAGGAATGCCACTCACAACAAGGAGATTTCAGTTGTTACCAGATATGCCTGCTGTAATGGACACAAATGTTATCTGGTGGTCAAAGATAAGCAACACAACAATTCAGAAAAAGGTCTATAATTATTTTGTGCAATGCATGCAATATATAAATTTGACAGATTGGTGGCTTTGCAACACAACATATGAACTTGAACCAACAACATTATCTTTTGTTCCAAAACTTCTCCCAATTGGCCCATTGTTGAGAAGTTATGACAATGCAGTCGCGACCGTGACCGCAACATCAATAGGGCAATTTTGGGATGAAGATCTCTCTTGCATGAGTTGGCTTGATCAACAACCTCATAATTCTGTCTTATATGTTGCATTTGGTAGTTCCACTCTTTTCGATCAAAACCAATTCGCCGAACTAGCTCTTGGACTCGAACTCACGAATCGACCCTTTCTTTGGGTCGTGCGTCAAGATTACCATCGAAGCAATAAGATAGCATACACTAGTGAAATTCGAGAAAATCGAGGTAAGATAGTAGGATGGGCTCCTCAAGAAAAAGTTCTAAGCCACCCTGCCATAGCTTGTTTTGTTAGCCATTGTGGTTGGAATTCTACTATTGAAGGTTTATCTAATGGGGTACCATTCTTGTGTTGGCCATATTTTACTGATCAATTTCATAACAAAACATACATTTGTGAAGAATTGAAAGTTGGGTTAGGATTTGATTCAAATGAAAATGGATTGATACAAAGTGGTGATATAAAAATGAAAGTAGACCAATTACTCAATGATGAGAACATAAGATCAAGATCTTTGAAGGTAAAAGAGAAACTACTATCTAATATATCAAAAGAAGGACAATCTTCAATGAACTTGAAAAGGTTTGTTGAGTGGTTGAAAGAATAAGGATTTGGTTTTTTTGTGCACAACAAGGTAAGTTGGTTGAGAAGGTAATTGGAACAATTTCTTACTTATGAATGAACAACTGAAGTATGTCATCTTGAACAGCCCTTAAGGAAATATTATTAGGCTTTTCAAGTACCTGAAATGATGTAGAAACATGTATTTTTGCTTCTAATTTTATGGATTTTGTTATGTTTGTGGAGTTCAATAAATGTAATAACAAGGAGTTTTGGTTTATGCATATACAAATATAATAACTAATATTCTACTAAATCTATAATTGAGCAATTAGCATGAGAAATTTTACATGATTAAAGATAAATGTTTACAATTTAGGATGAAAACATGTTAGGTCAGATTTTGCTTTAAACAGACTTAACTTATTATAATCAGAGTCTGATTTGTTTACCTATTTAAGAAAGTTAGTGCAAAGATTCATTTGGCAAGAAGAAACTGCTAAAGTGACATCATAACCAACTCCCTGTCAACCAAAAAATCGAAAGGTTCTGGCTCATGCTTAGCATTTACATACAACAACAATACCAACCTGTATCTAAATTAATTTTATGAAATATATACTCTCGGAAACAACATTTTCACTTAACAGAATACTACATACACCACATCCTCATAGGAGTATTTTCTTATCCATTTTCCTTCTTATGCAACAATGGGTGGATGCAACAATGAGGTTTAATGTTTACTCCATTGTTATGGGTTGGGACCACATTTACCCTTCTTCATTTGACACTGTATGTGATTGATAGGATTTTTTTTATTTGTTACAAATTTAATAATTATTTATTTTTCTGATTAATCACAAGCAAGTAATGACGTATGAAGTGATACACTTTTCGGGATAGTAGATGTACACCCTTACCATACCACAATGTTAACTTCTCTTCACCCTCTTGTTTTGAGAGCATATATCCCATTATTTTCCCACTATTCCCCCAATTAAAAAATGATATTTAATTAAAATGAAAAATCATAAAAATAAAAATTAATATTTTTATATTATTTTGTAAAGTTCGATTAATTTGATATTGAAAAATAAGATTTCTTTGGGAGAGATTTGTTCATGAAAACAATACTTTTATGTAATCAAAATGTAAATTAAATTAAAAATAGCTTACACATTCTTATGAATATATATATATATAAATGATATGTGATGTATCAAATATGTATAAAACTTTGCACTAACAATGTATGAATATTACACTTTTTTTATTTCTAATTATCACATCATTAATTATTCATTATGCTCTTGGTTGACATCACACTATCAATTTACTAAAAAAGTGGCACATTAAAATCCCATTTCACCGATTTGGATAAATTGGGAGAAGATATAAGAATTGATGTTTTGTCAATAAACATAATTTATGTTCTAATAGTATAACATAACTTTGATAAGAAATAAATTTAAGATTTTATTTGATGAGTGAGTAATGATGGTTATTGAGAGTTGTGTAGATGAAATTGCCACGTTCCCAACACATGCACAAAGGAATTTGGAACACAAATATGAGTTGTCGGTGGGGAAGTTAACATGATCATGTTATGTTATGTACCTAGCTTCAATCTTGGTGCCCCAACTCATAGCTATATACACATTAGTAATTATGTTCCACCCTTATCCTAAAGTTATGATAAGGGTTCTTCATTTTTTTATATGTGGAATTTTATTAAAGAGGGGACAAAATTACAACAAGAGGGAAATAAAAATGTATAACAATGTAAATTCAAACATAAAATTGGATTAGAGACTCGTCCAAATTAAGATATTGTTGCACCTTTGATTCATACCGGATTTGAACTTTATGATAAGTATCTCCCCCACACTCATCCTCTTGTTGAAGATGATGTCATTCTCCACTTCCATAAAACTCATATGTCTGCCATCCAAAGATCAGAACCAACTCCTTTTGGTAAACTACCCTTAACCGTAAGATGTTGCAACCAATGAGACTTTCTTGTTGGTGGTAACACCACCTCCAAACCAAGTCAGACATAAAGAAATTGTCAAACTCGATAAGAAAAATGGCAAGAGAAGAAAAGATGATCAACAGTCTTCGGCTAAACCTGACACCAAACAAAAAGGAGATCATTATAAGTAAAGCTACTGCCCTTCTTGGCTAAGTTCTACATATTTGGGGATCATACCCAATATAATTCTCCAAGCAAGCACACGGGTCTTTAAATGTGCCCAAAATTTCTAAACCACACTCCACAGCTTTTGATCCTCTGCACTAACCTCATTCCATTGTCGAATGACTTTGTAAGCTAACTTAACCGAATAACAATTGATAACCTTATGAATCCATAGTCATTTGTCCTCCCCATCTTCCTTCATCCTAATCCCTCTCAATTGCTTCAAAACTCCCCAATCATCGATTTCTGCCACTCATGAGTGTGGGATATGCATGAGCTTAAGAAAGATTCAATACATAAGTAATTTGGTAAATTGAAAACTATATACAGTTATTTTCACATAAAAAATGAAATTAAATCATATGTACACTTTGTCCGATTGCATGTATCTTAGATTTGTGATTCATCAAAAATATCAAAATATTTAAACTTTTCAATTAAACTTGTATTGTTTTGAACAATTACAAAGTATTGACTCGTGAGATAATGTTAGGACTTAAGTATATGAGGAGATTCCAACCCAAAAAGACTAGTCTATAAGGGAGAGAGAAACATCACGCCTTAAGTAACGCATTGAGTTTGTTATGCTACCCAATATGAGACTACTAATAGTGTCGCCTCCTTTAAGGGCCGACGTCCACGGCGACTTTCACTCTATCATCACTCACCCAATGGTACCCTTTCTCTTTTTGACGACTTCACTCACCTACCATTATTCATTAATATACCTTAATTCAACCTATATATGTCTATGACACAACTCTCAATGAAAGACATCAATTGTTGGACTTAAGCACATGAGAAGAGTTCAACCAAAAAGACAAACTTATTAGTTTAGAGAGTCTCATGACCTAAGGACATGGAAAATATTATTTCATCCGCCTTTGAAAATCTTTCCTTGATGTGTTATTATCATTTCTCTATTTATTCCTAGAGGCTAAAGTAGTTCTAGGTCCCATTTATGCAACTGCATGTAGGTACAAATTGATAGTATAAGAGAAACAAATGGTAATATACTAGAATTTTATCACCTAAAATGCAAGGGATAACATTATATTTTGTTGATACTTATTAAATAATTCAAAAAGAAAATATTAACCCACTATTAATCAATTTTAATTTTAGACTCTTGATTATATGTAAAGAGTATAATTTTATACTACTATGTGTACAAAATCGTGCAGAAAATCAATCCTTAAAGAAAACAATCCATGTTATCATTGAAAAACAATTCATAAAATTGAAGAAAAAAATCGGGAAATTGCACTCACTATTGATGATAAATATAACACTCATATCCCTTCTTCTTTTTTGCAATTTGAGCCATTAACACACTAACTCTACCCTCCAATTTGTTGAGAATAAATGAAGAAAACGTATTAATTTTAATTGATTTTTTGTATTTGAGAATAAAAAAATAATGATAGTCAATAATTAATTCCTTTCAAATTGGAGAATTATTGAAGTAATTTTGTCTCTTGTAATACAAAAATTTCCATGTACACTACACTAATTGAAATAGAACTAAGGTAGATCAACCCAAATCTAACTATAATTGATTACAACTTGCATAAAATAAAATTGTTACTTTCTTGGGTACATAAATAAAATTGTTAGTTTACTTTCAAACATTTCATTTAAGCATTTAATATAAAATAAACTTCATGCTTGAAATGAGATAAACATAACTCCACAAGGTATGAAGAATTAAAAATTATTTTCCATGGGTGAAAATTATATCACCGAACACATAAATTACAAAATTCAGAATTAATCAAATCTTCCTAAATAGGATTCGAACCTACGACCAATCAGTTAACAACCGGCCGCTCTACCACTGAGTCAATGAGGAACAACGAGAAAGGTTTTAAAAAATGTGAAAATTTTAATATTTCAAACATTTGCAATCTTGATATCTGACAAAACCTTAATATATTGACACCTATAGGTAGTGTTATTAATATCGTATTAGTCATTAAACCGGCAGGGGTACTGATACAGTGCTATAGTGGTTTAACCGATGATTCACTAATTAAACCGCATACCGGTAAAGCTAGATATACATATATAATATATTAAGATTAATGTTGAAAAATCAATAAAAATCGACCGGTATGACTGGTACGGTTCAATTGAAAACCGGCCGGTATGACCAGCTTTTTACTGATTTTGGCCGGTTTTTACCAATCTAATTTTTGCATGACCAGTATAATTATTATATCGTACCGGTATTATGACCAATTCATCAGTTCAACTGGCCGGCACGAAACAGTTTTAATAAGTATGGTATCCTTATTTAAAACTCTTGTATGAGATCCATAAGACAAAGGTACATAGTGAAATGATGTACCCCACGTGATGTTTGCAACATATGGGTTTTGAGGTCAGAATTCACAAGTGGGCTAGGAAATTTCACACACATGCTGATATATCATCCATAGAGGGAAACAACCCTTAAATATTGGCTTTTGCACATGGCTTCATTGACTCTTTCAATGAACATTTCCATTAGCATGTTCACCTTTTAGGCTTGGAATGAAGGTGTATGTATGTTTCTGTCCATATCACCCAAATATTATCTGAAAATTAATATCACCAACATGTGTGCATGCCCCATTCTTTTCCCACAGTCATTGTCTCCTATGCCATGCTCTCTTGCACTCTTTACTTTGTTTGCATTATCCTTGCATTTACCTTTTTCTGAGACACTCATACTCCATCACCTGATGCGGCTGTAATATTGTGGTTGCGGTGGCCACTGCAACCGCATCACACCGTAATTGTAGTGTGACTCCGAATCACAATGATGCGACCGCATCAGATCGCAACACAACCACATCGGACTGCATTTGGACCACATCGGACCACATCAGATTTAAAAATATTGTTTTAATTGCAAAATAATTCATACCGCAATCTGCACCGCAACGGCTGCGATGACCACAATCGCAATAAACACAACCATTATTACAATCGTGACCACAAACGCAATTTAAACACTGTACTAGCTCATCATCATAAATGAATATCATAAAAGGTATCGTTTAATATGTTGGTGGGATATTTTCAACTTTTAAGTATATCTATAAATATTTTTTGAGCACTAAGATAATTTCAGATTTTAATAATTATTGAGAACTCAACTCACTAAATTTTGGTTTGTGAAGGGAAAGAATGAGTACTATCTTTGTCCTAAGTATCTATTACATTGACAATTGCTTAGAACCTGGTAATAAATGTTACTAGACTATAGCTACTAGTATAGCCACTGAAAAAAATAATTGAAAATGTAACTTGATTTGAAAACAAGTACATTTTATTTGCTTATTCTTTATAGCACTTGACAGCAAAACTTATTTTAATTTCCTTACTGATAAATTAAATTTCTCATTTTTGCTTTAAGATTGAATAAACAAGCATAATTTAATGCCAAATTGGCATTGATAAACCCTAAAAATATAAAATGGTTACACATGCATAGGATTTTAATTTACAAATTTCCAAGTTTTACTTCCCCACTTTTTCTTCTACAAAACAAATAAGCTTGGCCAAATCTAATAAAAAAATCATAGAAGAGACACTACTAGCAACAAAGATGTACCTTTTTTCATTTATCTTTTGTTCTTCATCAATTAAACGATAAAACAAATACTGTTAAAACATACTGTATACTAATGTGATCACATAGACAGCGCCCGAAAGTGTTGTTATATCCCAAAATACGTGCCGTTGATTTACATATCTGGCGTAGTATCAAAGAGAGTGAAGCTATAACAATAGAGCATTTTCATCCACATGGTTGTTCCCATAAAACTCAATCAGCTTCTGCAGAATCACAACCTGGGTTCTCAACAAAACAATATAATCAGCAGTTTCCTGAAACAACTTATCAGGTTTCACTGTTTCTTCATTATTGTGTGTAGGGATTAGATTCTTGAGTATTTGAAGCTTTTGTGAGAGCTTGAACTTCATGATGGGTTTGAAGCTTCTTTTATGTTGTTGTTGTTGTTGTTTTTGTCTTCTAACTCTTCTTGTGGCTCTTTTGACATAGAGTTTGTAACTGTGTTTTGTGTTTAAGGTCATCATGTTCATGGACACTACAAATGAAACTGAGAAAGAAAAAATAGAAAGAGGAAATGAAATATGTTTATGTTTGATGTCTTGTTTTTTAGGTTTAAGTAATGAGGCATAAAGAAATTACCACTAGATTATGCTGGTATTTACGGAAATGCCACTGCTTTTTTTATAAACCACTATAAAACATGACAGTGAATAATAAG